TCTTATTTTGGGGGAAATACGGTACTAACTGCGTCCGTCTGGCTGACGATCTTATTTTGGGGGTAGGGCTTATATTACGAGCATCCTGAAAAATCATGCTAGGTCTAATTTTCTGGTTGGATCTTATTTTCAGGGAAACAGGTTACAACCATTTGCTTCGTGACCGTTCAAAATTACAACAGCACTCAAAATAATGACCTGTGACCATTGCAGCATCCCCATGGTCATGTGACCAAAATCCAGGCATTTGAGAACTGGCCGATATTTATGACAGTTGCACTTTTTCAGGGTTACCATTTGTAATCTTTCCAGCTGGCTTCCAACAAGCAAGGTCAATGTGGGAAGTCGAATGTGTTTAATGACCACCCGATTCACTTAAGAACTGCAGTGATTCACTTAACAACGGTGGGGAAAAATGGCCATGTAATGGGGCAGAACTCACTGTCTTGCTTAGCAAAAGAAATTGCGGATTGAATTATAGTTGTCAATTCGAGGTCTATCTGTAATCCATCAATCAAAGCATCACCTGTGGATCACTGCAAGGTGTTGGTGGGAAAGAGCAATGTACTGTACTAGCTGGATACCCATGCTTCCTGGCGAAACTATGTGATTGGGCAATGAAGGGAGAACTCCGGGACAGTCCGGTTCAATCCATCGGCTCAGTGGTGGTTGGTAATTGAAACACATAAGAGAATATCGCTCCTGCTGCCTTGAGTTTGGAAACAGTTTTATAAGTGGAAAGCGTAGACATTTTGGTGAGGTACCGACATTTAGTACTGTAAGGAGCCCCAGACTGCTCCTGGGTGAAGGAGTGGAACTTCTTCCAGTTTGAACTGAGCTAATGGAATGCGAGGCAATTGGCAGTTGGAACAGAGTTCTTTTCAGGTGGGGAGGGGGAGTAGAATATCTAATTTCTTAGCATCAGAGAGTGCTAATATAAGGCAACTGGCAGTTGGAACAGAGTTATTTTCAAGTGGGGAGGGGGAGTAGAACTCCTTAGCATCAGAGCGTGTTAATTACTGTATAAAAAATACCAGTGATCTGATGGTCATTTTGAAAAATCCTTTCTTAGCGTGCAGCTAGAAGCCAAGAGGAACATGTGTGTCAAATTTCAAGTTTGTAGGCTTTATGGTTCTGGAGATTTTGTGATGAGTGAGTGATATTTGGCTTTTATATATAGCCATGATGGCGAACCTATGGCACGTGTGCCAGAAGTGGCATGCAGAGCCTTCTCTATGGGCACGTGCTGTCAGCCCAGCTCTGCCAGTTGGTCATCAGGTTTCCAAGGCGCACATACACACCAGCCAGCACTCTGGTGTGTGCGTGTGCACGCCCATGCGTGCGCCTTTTAGTTTGGGCACTGTGCCTAAAAGGTTCGCCATCACTGGCATACAGTATACAGATAATGAGAAAAACACACACACAGTAAAACTGAAACCAACAGCCATACGCACATCTTATACGAAGTATTATACACACTGCATAACTGCAACTCAAAAATCAATGGAAGGCATAAACCATTTTTAAAAAATGTTGCCTGGAAGCAATTTTGATGGGTTTTTAGCCAGCAAATATATCATAATGTTTTTATATTTATTATAAATATACATGAATATTATATTTGATCTAAATATACCAAACAGACGTCAAAAGGTTTAATTATTTTGAGGCTTAGGCTTAGCAACAAAGGAAGTAAATCGCAAGATTATTGAAAGATTCCCAGCTGTCAAGGCAACCTGAAATCACAGCTTTTTGTATTCTTTATGACAATACAATGAAGCTAAAACCCAGAGCCTATTAGGGGAGAGGGAAATATTTGCAACCGCCCTTCACATTTTCTCTTTCTAGCTAACCCTCCCTCCCTCCCAGAAAATTGTTCCATAATAGTTTCTTAAGATGTTAGTGACACTGTGAATTTCATACCACTTTAATCATTACTTCCCCAGCTCAGGGTGCTACGTTCAGTGATCCTACAATAACAGTCACACCAGGAAGAGGCTTAATGCTTCCTTCTAATACATGGCTCTGCAATCTTTTTCTTATTAACTTCAAAAGTTTGCAATCCTGTTATCACTTCCTATCAGCCGAACGCTGGCAGCAGAAGGGAAAGTTACACGTCGAGAGGGTAAACAATGAAATGAAATTTCTCATCTTCTCCCTCGCTCTCTTTCTTTTTATGGAACTTTGAACAAACAAAGAAATTTGTACAGAGAAGAAAAAACAACCTTGATTTAAAAAAAACAAACAAAAGAAAACAAAGAGAAGGTGGGATTTTATTGTTCGTGCAAGAAACTACGGCAGATCGGTAACTATGTACTAGGAGAAAGAAATTCATGCTGTTTGGTAGATTCTCAGAGGCCCTGCATAGAATCAATCATTTTGCCAAGGAAGAGGGGGAGAGAGAGAGAGATAAAAGGATAGAGAGACGGATGGATAAAAAGATAGAAGATAAATGATTGTTAGAGAGATAGAGGACGGATCTATCTGATGATACATTAATATGTGGATAGAAGATAGATAGACTGACAGACACATAGAATCGATGATGGATAGATAGAATCAATGATAGCTAACTAGATGATAGACAGACAGAAAGACAGACAGACAGAGACAGGCAGGCAGACAGCAGGCAGACAGACAGACTGATCATGATCTTGGTGTCATACTGGACACCTCAATGAAAATCCAGAGTACAACAGCTATCATTCATTTATTGATTAAATTTATTTGCTGCCCATCTCGCTGTCTTATGACTCTGGGCAGCTTACAATGTATTAAAAAGGACCCCATGTTTGGAATCATGAAGAAGGGAATTGATAATAGAAATGCCGATTATGGTCTCCTGTACTGAAGAGGAATATTTTAGAGCTGGAAGAGATGTAAAAGTGGTGTGTGTGTGTGTGTGTGCGTGTGTGTACCGTATGTATGTATGTATGTATGTATGTATGTATGTATGTATTATGTATGGATCTGTAGGTACAGTATATATGTATGTATGTATGTATGTATATTGCAGGGGTGGGTTCCTGCCAGTTCTAACCTCTTCTATAGAAGAGGTTCCACAAATCTACAGTGCCCTTTAGAACCGGTTCCAGCTCCCTCTCCCCACCCATCTGCACATCATCAAGATGAAGAGCAAGAGGAGGAATTCTGGGAGTTGAAGTCCACAAGTCTTAAAGCTGTCAAGTTTGAACACCCCTGGGGTGTTTTTTTTTCTAAAGGGTTAGGGGTGCAAAGGTTTTGTAACTTGACAGCTTTAAGATGCACACTTCAAATGCCAGAGTTTCTGAGCCAACATTTTGGTTGCTAAGCAAGAGTTTCACCACATTTTACAAGTTGGCTAGGCCCACCCAGTCACATGACTGCCAAACCACTCCCACTCAGTCACATGGCTGGCAAACCACTCCCACCCGGTCACATGGCCAGCAAACCACTCCCACAAAGCAGGCCACACTTACAAGAAGAGGTTCTAAAAAATTTTGAAACCCACCATAGGTATATAGCCAGAGGTGGGCTGCTCCTGGTTAGGCCCAAATCGGCCGAACTGGTAGTAGTGGTGGTGGCGGGAGGCTCCGCCTGGACGTTTCCGCACATGTGCAGAAGCGGTGTGCGTGCGTGTCAGAACCGGTAGTAAAAAAATTGGAAACCCACCATTGTATATTGCATTTGCATATGTGTTATGTATGAATACACTTTTGAGGGCAGACAACAGAATTTCATTTTTAATGTGTGCCAGTGTGCTCAGAGTAAAACATGACAAGAAAAGTTATCTAAAAGGAACCCAAAGAGACACTTGCGGAACCAGCTTCCTGTGGGGAAAGAATGAAGCCACTACAGCTTACTGACCATTCAGAATTGTGACGGACCTCCCCAGGGTTACTTACAACCCAGATTCAAAGTTCTCACAGCTGGACTTTCCAACAGTCATGTGACTGTATTTTGGACACTCGGCAACAGGAAATCAGGAGATTTGGGGGGGGGGGGGCTCAGCATGTCACGAAAACAAACCAAATATGACTACCGATGTAAGCTAACCATCTTGACTACTACAGAGATCAGTTACTTACAATATTTGGATGGGAGAGCCTCAGCAAAACTCCAATTTCAGTTCTGACAATTTTCTTGTCAATCTGCAAAGAAGAACAATAACAATAATGTTGGCTATACAGGTGGCCCTCAACTTGCGACCATAATTGAGCCCAACATTTAGGTTGCTATGTGAGACAATGGTTAAGTGAGTTTTGCCCCATTTTACTCCTATTCCCCACCCTCCTGTCAGAGCTGAAGACGTTTGTTGGATGAGAAGCAAAATGTCTTCAAAAGAAAAAAACAAGAAAGTCCAGTTGCCTCCAGAGAAAAAGCATCTTTGATGGGTTTAGTCTTCTGAGCTTGCAGAACTCATGCTGGAGTCCATCTTCAGGGAATGTGGGTTATTTTATGCATAGCATTTATGTGATGTCTGGTTGTGTGTGGCTTTTCATTTGTCGACTGGAGTGTTGATGGTCAGCTATTAAGTCCTTGGCTCTTGTTTGCTTGTGTTGCCAAATCTTCAGCTCCTAAGTAGCTGATAAGAAATTCCTCTGCATCCTTCCATTCAGCTCTCAAGAGGGATTTTGAGCTTCCTGCCTGCTTGGATTTCAGCTGCTGAGATCCAAGGAGGCATGGATAGGCAGGGACCACTTCCAGCCAGCCCCAAAAGATGAGAGGGAGTCCTCTTGACAGACACCATCAGCTTGCAACCTTTCCCGCTGGCTTCCCCACTGACTTTTTGGGGAAACCAGGAGAGAAGATTGCAAATAGTGATCACGTTGCCAATTGCCAATTGATTGTAAGTGTGAACAGGTTGAGAGACCCCTGATCGTGATCATGTGGCTGCAGCTCTGTGCGTGTGTGCGTGCACGCAACATTTTGCAAAAGTCCGAAGTGCTTTAGTAGCCATAAAGCACCTTTTCCAAAGCCGTTGTAATTTCAAACAGCCATTAGGTGATGGGTTGTTAAATGAGGACTGTGGGTCATAACAGAATCTTGGAAATCTGGCAGGATTTCCCCTTCCTTCCCTTCTCTTACAAGGTTAAGGCAGAGACACTTTAAATTTGTTTCTAATGTTCTATTTCTGTCCTGGGATTAAATCATGTACCGCTATCATGTACATTTTCCAAGGTCACGTCTGTGATTCTCTATAGTACTATATTTCCATTATTTGTAATTTAATAAGATACTGAGAACTCCAGATTTTGGAAGCCACAAGGTTGGCTGAGTCACCTACAAACATTGGAAGAAAAAATACGTATTTAAAAATGATTTACAGATTTACTTCTCTTTCCAGTAAGAGGGCAAGGAAGATGATTTTTCAGCAATAAAAACAACATTTGGGCAATTATTATTCTTTCGAATATAATCTGCCAGGCTCTTTTAATCTTTTTTTTTTTTTTGAAGTATTGTGTTTGAAGTTATTCCATTAACGGAATATTGCTAATGTTGTAAACATGTGTACTTCTCTTGTGCTCATTAACTTTGTATAATAAGATTTGGTTGTTTTAAAATGACATTTGAAACCAGAGTATCTTGGGGAACTTACACAGAGTAAGTTCCTCGGGGCATCTGTAGTGGGGTGTATGTGTGTGTCTAAGAGTCGAAATGATGGTTGTGATTGTGTGGTTATGAATTCCATTTGGATTCCTCCCTGCCTCCATGCATGCTCCTGCAGCAGAGGTGGTATTCAGACAGTTCTGACCGGTTCTGGCAAACCAGTAGCGGAAATTTTGAATAGTTCGGAGAACCAGCAAATGCCACCTCTTGCTGGCTCCGCCCCCATCTATTCGCTGCCTCCAGAGTCCCAGATGTTTGGCTGGGTCTTCTTCTGTTGCCCTGCACAGGAAAACAGAGCTGGAAAGTAGGTTAGTGGGGTGGGGAGGGAATGAGGATTTTACAGTATCCTTGCCCTGGAGTGGGGTGGAAATGGAGAGTTTACAGTATCCTTGCCCTGGAGTGGGGTGGAAATAGAGATTTTACAGTATCCTTGCCCTGGAGTGGGGTGGAAATAGAGATTTTACAGTATCCTTGCCCTGGAGTGGGGTGGAAATAGAGATTTTACNTTGGACAAGGGCTCTGCATCGGAGGCAGAGAGGGGGCCAGTGCCATCTGGTAGTGATGTGCTGCCTCTGGAGCCTCCGGGGTCTGACATCAACGAGGCAGAGGAACAGGGGGAGCCTGTTCCCAGTGCGCGCATGCGCAGAGTTGCCAGAAGACAAGAACAGTTAAAGGAAAAAGGGTGACTCGAGAGTAAGGCTTGGAGATGATTGGCCCCTCCCATAAGACATAAAAGAGGAGCAAACGGAGGTCAGCCTTTGCAGGAAGCAATTTGTTCATTTTGTTCGGTTCAAACTCTGAAGCTCCATTTGACTCTGTGCTCCATTTGGCCTTGCAAAACTAATTGGCAATTAGGTCTCTGGCAGCCTTTCAAGGGAGATAAAGGTGGGTACTTATCAGCCTTACCCTGAAAGACTGTGGTAGACGTCTGTCGGACTCTTTGCAGACTGTTTGTGAATCACTGCAGGCTGTGAATGACCATCATTCACAGCGGTTTAAATAAAAGAGGGGTTTTGGGACTAAGCGTGTGATTTATGCTTTATCAGGAAGCCCAGGTTCAGAACAACCAGCTGGCGTTTCTCCTGAGTTTCACAATAATGGGAGAAAGACAGAACCTAAAGCAATCCAAATTTCCAACTTATATATATCTTTATTTATTTGGGGTACTATGCAATAGTCTATCAAAATAAATCAAAGAACTGCACTTGTGGCAGGGAGGTGTCTTGGGTTTGGTAAAAGATTTAAAAGATTTAATATTCAACTTCTGTATACTTTTAGTGCATTGGAAAACCTGCCTGTAAAAATTGCAAGATCCAAGCATCTAAAATTAGGGGCCGCTTTAAGACCTGTGGGGACTTCAATTCCCAGAATTCATGCTGGCTGAGGAATTCTGGGAGTTGAAGTCCCACAGGTCTTAAAAGTGACCCCAAGGTTGGACACTCCCGATCTAAATACTATTTGCAAACCTACACTCAGCTCAGTCCAGGTTCCAAGGTGTTTTCAGAGGCTTTCCGGTGCTCATCCGGTTTCCGGCACATGAACGCTCCTGTTTCGGCTCAGTGCCAAAAAGGTTCACCGACACTGATCTAAGCTAAACAGAATTTACCTGCTGACTCTCACAAACTGAGAGCCATTCCTTTATTCTATTAACACGTTGTCACAAACAAAACAATTTCACACTTTTTGGGGCAGCCAAAATAAGCATCCTATCACATTTAGCTTGATGGGGGCAAAGAGATATTTCATCTACTTACATTCTGATATTCGATCAGCAGGGTTCTAATGTAGTAATCAGTCCTGACCTGTTCAGCTTCCTAGACAGACAGAGAGACACAGAGAGAGAGGGGGGAGAGATTAAAATTTTGCCCAATTTAACTTAGCCTTACATACGCTCACCAAACCAAGCCAACTTCAAACCATGATTTATAAAGCTTGATGGAAGCAACGATAAATTTTGCTCCGATTGACCAATCTATCCAGGTTTGTGCAAAACATCAAACTGTGGCAGTTTAAGAGTGGAAATAAAATCTGCCAATCTTCTAATTGCATCAGAATTGATAAGACGGGAAATGTCGAGGGCATACCCATAGCATGGTTTCTTGTTAAACTTACCATCTGAATAAGGCTAACGTCCAATTCCTCATTTATGAAGTATTATTTCGAGGGGAAATCCTCCATTATTAATGCACACGTTTTTTTTATTTTAATCTTTTTATTTTAAAGTTGTAGCATCGCCAAGACTTTAAATATCTGCTTTTGCTTCTCATACAATTATTAATCTATTCAAAGTAAAAGCACTTCAGAGCCACTAGTGACTAATTTGGGTAACTGCAGAAGAATGCAAAACAAGTTTATGTGTTCGATATTCGCCCAACTAGGCACAAATTACAACTTCATTAAAAAGCTACCGATAAATAAAGAAATAAAGACACTTACGCAAGAAATGTGGAATGGTCCAAATGAGATGCTTTCTTCTCCATACAGTGGCCAATAGCGTTCGCATTTTTTCTGTGAAGCAGAATGAAAGTTTTAAAAACACTTTGAAAAGCATACATTTTACACTTTACCTGGATAAAGGTAAAGGTAAATGTTCCCCTCGCACATATGTGCTAGTTGTTCCTGACTCTAGGGGGCAGTGCTCATCTCCATTTCAAAGCTGAAGAGCCAGCGGTGTCCGAAGATGTCTCTGTGGTCATGTGGCTGGCATGACTAAATGCCGAAGGCGGATGGAACGTTGTTACCTTCCCAACAAAAGTGGTTCCTATTTTTCTACCTGCATTTTTAGGTGCTTTCGAACTGCTAGGTTGGCAGAAGCTGG